CTCTTACTTTACCAATTTCACTTGATGTGTTGAGGGACAAAGAAATTTTCACTTCACAGAATGTATTAATAGCTGACTAGCCACCCATCGGGACATCATAAAACTTTAAAGACAACCCAAAGATAGGGAGGTTAGATAAAAGCAATTGAACGACACAAATTGCTCTCTTCTAACCTGCCTAACACCTCAGTGAGGTTTGATGGAGCAACACTTGAGAGGGAGAATCTTACTATCCAAAGAATGTTTTGTCACTAACTCAGACTGCATGATAATGCGCTCAGGTAAAACACATACTCCTTTGCAGGATTTTCATAAAGGCCCATCAGAATACATTGTCTAAGTAGTTTCATTGCCATACCTTTAACATAAAAAATATTAAAACTACGTTTTTTGGGTTAAAATTTTTTTTTTTTTTGGTATCTTTCTTGCAGTATTTTAAAATTCGGGCTACAAGGTTCCAACGGAGCATAGACATATCACAGCTTGCAATGAATTTGATTTTAAATGCAAATATCAACAACTAGAGTCTTTATCTGAGTGTCAGATTTTTAAAGAATGGAATCAACAACAGCATTATTTTATAAAGAATACATAACAATAAACAAAAGAAATAGACCAAACTTAACTTTTAACAGAAAAAAGAAAGGTACAACCCTCCAAAAAAGGGAATAGATTTCAAAAGTAATTTTTCAATTTACCTACAAAAAAACAAGAAATGTTAAGATCTAATGTAATAAGTACACATCAACAGAATATAGCAAGACTCTATTTGAGATGATGTGTTTGTATTGCGCTAAGGAATTAATTCGCAAAATAATTTCATTAAATTAAACGACACGCTTTTACTTTAATAAACATCATAAGTTTTACTTCAAAGTTGTGAATCACACTCTAACTAGGCAATATTGTGACAAATCTTTCATTTAAAAGAAATCTTATCTTATCACAACATTACTTGACTGATGACTTTTTGGTAGACATAATATAATATAATATAATATAATATAATATAATATAATATAATAATATAATATAATATAATATAATATAATATAATATAATATAATATAATATAGGCTATCATTACTGTCTTTCTTTTGTGTACAAATGTATTTTGTAGTTTGCTTATCGATAAATATGCGTAGGATTGATTGTCTTGATATCTTCTGAATTCAGCACAGGCCTATACGTAGGCTTACTAAAGAATATAGTTATCCGGCCCATACTCTGCATTCTCTCAGTTATGTGGCCCACTCTGAAAAAAGTGTTTGGTGACCTCTGTACTAGATGGAAGTAAGCCAACTATTTTTTATTTGCATGATTTGCCTCCCCTTTTCAGTCCCCAGATTCCAAACAATGTTGGAAACAAATGTAAAAGGGAAAGTAAATCTTGTTTGTTGTAAACATTTCTGTCTAAAGATTGAAATGCCTTTGCCATTGAAAGTTGTCAGTGAACTTAGTAGGATATTTTGAGCAGCAAATAGGATAGCTTTTACTGTAGGGCCTACTTTACACAGAATGCTAAATTGTATTTTAAAAATAAACATGTGAAGCGGAAATATTAAACATTATATTAGTGTAGAAAATACTTTAAAATTGTATTTTTTAGTTCAAAACATTTTTTCCGTAGATATTACATGTCCCCACGACCATATAGAAAGCCTTGTCAGCTTTAGAAATTATCAAAAAGGAAAAAGCCATAATACCTGTAGAGATAAAAATGGGTAGAGGTAGAAAGATATATAATCTCTTTGGGCTTGCAGTAAAACCGACCTACAGGCCCTAACAGAGTATTTTTTAGATGAGAATTCAAAGGTTGAGGGTTTAAATAAATGGAAGAATTTATACATATAATATAATATGCAAACAATTTAGTTTCATGGTGACACTATTGAAAGCCAGAATCTCTCTTGGCTGTTATCACAATTCACTGAATCTCATATATAGAGTTCAAATTTTTATGATTATTATATATTTGAAAAATCATTTTCCTTAGACTGTACAAAAACTGTTGAAATTGTCTAAAATGGCAATCAGAAGAAAAGTTGTTGTCTTAGACAGGTGGATATCATAGACATTGTCATTAGAATATTTTTTTTTAAACCCACAAAAGGGAGTAGGGAAGAAGGGTTTGTACAGGTGATTGTCTAGGACAGGTGGTCGTTAGACCAGTTTTTTCTGTACAATGTTTTGAGCTTCTCTTGCTGTTTTTAGCGGCGTCTGAACGTTCCAATAACCTCCTTGCATTCAGGGCATCTGTGCTTCACATCGTGGCATTTTTTCTTCATCACAAAAGGAAGAAAAATTAAACAAAAACAACTGAGGAAAAAAATAAAACAGAAGATCGTTTAGCAAAGCTGTATAATTAGGCTTATGAGACTTTCTATTCATTTCTTTCATGAGAGACAGAGGCAGCTGCTGTAGTAAAGTAAGCTCAGAATTTGACATTTAAGGAAAAAGTTTGAGCTGGGAAACTGTTCATTAAACTTTCTCAATAACAAAAAGGGGGTGGGGGAGAGTTCATACCCTAATTATAATTTTTATTTTTCTTCCATTTCCACCACGTGACTCTTCTTATTTATCTTTTTCTAACTCGAATTCTGACTCTATAAATTCCCTGACAGTGTTATTGGATTCCATTCACATCCTAATAATAAGCAATGTCAACTAAAGACAGCATATCAGGTGTAGTACCTGGGAAATAAATGGCATTTTTGAAAGCAAAGATTTGTATAAAACTTTAATTCAAGTTTTCATTAAAACTTGCTATTTTGAGCATTTGGGTTCATTCTTGAGAAAGACAATTTTTTTCGAATGTGCACAAAAACATTTAAAGAGAAGCCAAGGTAACCTTTGAAAAGGAATGCAGACGAAGAACATTGTACAGGGGGGGGGGGGGGCATCTCACTAACACTGTCTAACAAAAGTGAAAAATGACGTCCTTTGTGAATATGTGAACAGATTAGGCCATGTCTAAAATAATTACACAAAATAAAAGAGCAGCCGAATCTGTATTTATTCAACAAAAACTAGAAATTCAAATTACATAGAAGACAATGAAACAATTCAACATGCAACAATATTTAACTACTTTATATGTTATGTTGCAGTCATATTAATTGATCATTTTTTGTGGGTGGTTGGCGGGTGCTCTGTCGTGGTTTGCTTCTTCTTTCCTATCAAACATCTATCGTTCTTATCTCCCCTTCTTCTGTTTTATGTTTGTTACTCTCTTCTAACACCTCTAATCTTCTGGCGCTCATATGACCTTATGCAGTTGCGAGCACCGTAAAACCCTCTACTAAAACTACACTAAACGATCATTTTTTGAAGAGGATAAAGTGAGTAGGGGAGCGGGAAATATTAAAAAAATGCATGTTAGAAGTTTTACGCTCGGCTCTTTCACGATTGCTCAGTCTATAAAACCTTATGTTTGTAATGTTGTACTAACAGATATTGATGAACACGGGCGGGCACTTAAACCAAAAATAGCTCATTCCAAAACAGCAATAAACCTGAAGAAAATAGAATTCTCGATTTTTTTTTCCCCTTCTTTGTCTTTGTAAGAAAACTAGCCTATCAATAATCCATAACACTCACTTTTCTAGACCAAAAAGAATTTTGACGGTTATGTCAACTGAAACTTCACTGGCAACCATCACATAATAATACATGTAATAGATAGCATTTGTATAGCTCAAATCCCCGATCAACAGCAAGTTCTACGTGCTTCAAAATCTATACTATTACCTCAGCATGCTGGCAGACCTGAGAACATTCTGCAACAACCTCAACTTCCTGGGAAGCATACAGTGCAAGCAGCCATTTATAGGCGCTAAAACGCTAATATACTGACAAGATCTTTTGCTGTCTATGGCCGGGTACCCATTCTCACCTGGGTGAAGTGAGGAAAATTAGTGTAAAGTGCCTTTCCCAAGGACACAACGTCGGGCCGGCGGTTCAAACCTCTGAACTCACAACTTCACGATTATGAGTCTGGTAGCCTAAGCACTAGATTACCGCCGCCACCATAGCACAAATCATGAAGTCTTACGCCCTACAAGAAAGGGTAAAAGGCAGAAATAGATAGGGGTACGTGCGTGTGTCTCTTGCAAACCAGGAAGAAGCATCACAAGTGCACTGTTTTGCCTTGGTTTTTTTCCACACATCAATGGGTTTACACACTTTTTTTTTAATAGTAGAGGGTTTTACAGCGCTCACAACTGCATAAGGTCATATGAGAGCCATTACACTCTGTGTGTTGGCCTAGGGATACAAGAATAGTGAATAATGTCTGTTATGCGAAGGTACTTTCTGTTGGTCATGACCCACTGATGCTGAAAAGTTAGTTCACAAAGGTCCTATACACACCAGCATGTGACTGCACCTGGTGTGTTTCATCGCCTTATTGGCAATGGATTTGTTACTTCTCTAGACTAGTACAGTGCACAGTACAGTGTGCTGATCTACTCTTTCATCTGTCCTTTGTGACTGTTCAACAGATTATGCAAGCTAACTATCTTAAAGGGAAATCACAGTGCTATACAGCCTATTGCTCAAATTTCAGTCAAATGAGGTAGATGTGTAGAAAACTTTCAAGAAGTGAAATCTGCTGCTTGCATGGTATTCCCAAACTCTATGGTTTTGACAATCATCACTACATAAGCCATCCTCTCTTTAATGAAAACACGGCTAAACCCAGGAAAAACCGTCCTTCCCACAGATTTCGGTTTAAGCAGACTTCATAATATTATTATTATTTAATCTGTCTAATAACAGTTAAAAATATTACACAAGAGAATAAATCAGAGTGAAAATCAGTTGAATCTAGTATAACTAATTGCATCTAATCAAAGCTTATAAACAACGTAATCTGTGCTCTATATGTCAATATTGAAAGAAAGATACTCAAGGTGTAGTGCACGCAGAGGTTTTGAAGCATTGAATAAAGGAATGACAACTTGAAATTCTCAGTGGTAGCTAGGGATACCCAGATAAACTTACAAGGAAAATATCAAACAAAAGAGCCACTGTCTGGCATAGTTTCCAAACTCGTAGGTCGTTTTTGTCACAACTTTCTCATGGCAGTGCTTGCATTTCAGTTCTTCAGGGTCAGAGCCAAGTGAATCTGCATGGAAGATCAAGTACATGAAAACATGATATAAGATATTATGTGCCCCCCCCCCCCCCCCCCCCCAGATAGACCCACCTCTTCGTGGTGGGGGGGGGGATTAGTACTCTTCGAATAGGAAAAGAAAAAGAGGAAGCTAACGGGTCAAGGGGTGAACCCGAAAAGAGACATATTACTTTACTATGTTTCTTAGTCTTTCTATTTATTGCTTTTATTGTTTTATTACATTTATTAACTTTTCTTTTCTCCTCTCTCCATCGACAACCTTTCTTTGACATGGAGTTGGGACGGGTATTGGTGGGGTGAAAAGCAAAGGTTCATTGTCAGCACTGTACTGGATGTGACTTTACGTAGGGAATACCCAGCTACATACATGTATTAAGCATGCACTTATCGGAGAGCCCTATGACTGTGGAGAAGATGCAGAGGCCAATTGCGTCTTGCTTGTTGACAACATTAACCCTCTGGGATCTGCCATGCCTTCCCCTGCCCCCATCTCTCGGATGAGAGGACTTGGTTGCTCTGGGAGGAAAAGGGGGGGGGGGGGAATCTAGCTTCCAATTGGTATTATTATTACTATTAGTATTATTATTATCATTACATTCTAATTTTTTTATTTCAGCAACACACAGCAACTATGCTCTTAATAGCGTCTTTCTCTTCTTTATCTCCTCAAACAACTTCTCAATATAATACAACAGACACCAACATACCCATTCATTTTTCTTACAATCTCTCTGTGAAGGAGTTGGGTTTTTGTTTATGGCATTGCACCTACAGCCACTGATTTATCTCCTACCCCAGGATGGAAGGAAAATAGAAGAAGCGAAAAAGCCCAGGTCCTGATAAAGTACACAATGAGATGCTACAAAACCTTGGTGAAAAAGCCAAATTGCTACTTCTTAAGCTCTACAACAGAACATGGACCGAGGGAAATCTGCCTAAAGCATGGAAACTAGCCACTATAAACCCAATCTTAAAGAAAGGAAAGAAGGCCAATGACCCTAAAAATTACCGCCAAATATCACTCACATCCTGTATTGGCAAGCTCTGTGAAAGAATCCTCAATTCTCGTCTTTATTGGTGGCTTGAGTCTTCAGGTCTGATCTCACAGTGTCAAGCAGGGTTCAGGTCAAAAGTCAGGACAGAAGACCAGCTCTTCAGGCTTACACAGAAGATCTATTTAGGATATACCAGAGCTGTTTTTGATTATTGTCTTGTTCTACAAAACATTTGCAGTAAAACTACAAAGAACTCAATGGACATCATCCAAAACCAAGCTCTTCGTCTTATCTCTGGCGGAATGAGATTCTCACCGACTGCGGCCTGTGAAATCCACAGAAATATTGACCATTTGAAACTCGAAGGAAACGGGCAGCTTTAGAAGTATATGAAAGATCTAAAAGGCTAGAAAATAACCACCTTAATAGAGTCCTTGTTGACAAGTGGAAACCTAATCAAAGACTAAAAAATACAAAATCTGTACTTGACACTGTTCTCAACCTCCAATAAAAACATCACCTCCCTGAAAGACGAGAACCTCTGGAAAGAGTTCCTTCAACTCTCTCACCACATCTCACCATAGCAAAGCCAGAAATTAGGAAAACACTTTTGGACAAGAGCAATAAAAACACATATCCTGTAGCACCAAAACATTCTGCCCTTGAAACAATTGATTCCTATCCACCAACATGGATCCACTCATACACTGATGGATCTGCCTTTAAGGCAACGATCAACGCTGGATATGGGTCAGTGATCAACTTGCCCAGTAGGATAAAAAAAGAAGTCTTTAACTCCAGCGGGTCCTTCTGCTCCATTTTCATTGCCGAACAACAGGCTATCACCAACACAGCAAACTACATCAACTACTTGTTTGACACTAACCCACTTGCTACCACAGACATCGTTATCTTTACAGACAGCCTTTCAACACTAGAGACACTTGAGGGTGGGACTGATGTGAACAAAGGTATATTGCACTTGATTTGGAGTCTACATAATTTGATAAGTAGGCACCACGTCAGAGTAGTCCTACAATGGATTCCTGCCCACACTGGGATACCGGGAAATGAAAGAGCTGATGCTCAGGCAAAGAAAGGCGCCAGCCTCCCTCAGCCTGAAATTCCTACGAATTACACCACCTGCTGCCAAATGATCAAATCAAACCTCAAGGAAGAGTGGATGAATGACTGGACCACAGGTACGACAGGAAGGAGGATGTATGGCCACATGAATAAACCACTGGTCAAAGATCCAATCAATGAGTTGAGGAGGGGAGATCAATCCATAATCTTCCAACTTAGAACACAACATGTACCCCTCAACCAACATCTCAACCGAATTGGAGTAAAGCAGTCTGCTGCCTGCCCACTATGTGACTACCCCTCAGAGACAGAGGAACATCATCTGTTCTTCTGTAGAAAACTAACTGATTTAAGGGGATGTTTTCTTCCCAAGCTACCCCACACATCTAACTGTCTCTACTCCTCAAAAAACCAATTAGAACAGACATGCAGCTATTACCGAATGGCATCATGCAAAAGAGTTAACGCTCAGATGCTACTGGATCGCTAACAACAACAACGACAACAACAGATATTATGTAAAGCTGATCTAAACCGTGGGTACCAACTGAGGTCAGTAGTTTAACGGGTAGATTTTTTGGCGTCATATACCTGCAGAGAAAGACACGATTCTCCTTCGGAGAGACTTTTTATCAATTACCTCTATCTCTGTCTCATGGGACATAATATTATCTCTCTCAGACCTGGTTGGCCTTAGTGCAGGATCAAGCAGGGCACCTCCGGAGTTTTTTAATTGTGTCAATAGGGGTTTAAAATATTTACAATTTTACAGGGTTATCTACTGGTAAGTGGTCAGATAACACAATTCACATTAGAGAATCAAGCTAGCTAGCTCGTACATCAGAGACTGAGGCATTGCAATGTGTTTTCCTGGGGTGTGTTCAAGAGCAACGCACACTGCACTTAACTAAAAAATAGGGCCCAGTCAGTAGGCTTCATTAATGACAGTTTGACACTGACAATGACAGTATTTATTTATCTCACAGCGAGAAATTTGTGTGTGTGTGTGTGTGGGGGGGGAGTATGTGTGCGTGTGTATGTGTCTGTATGTGTACGTGTGTGTGTGTGTGTGTGTGTGTGTGTGTGTGTGTGTGTGTGTGTGTGTGTGTGTGTGTGTGTGTATGTGTGTGTGTGTGTGCGCGCACTCGCACACGTGTGTGAGTGTGTAGGGAACTGCAGAATGCTACATTATCTTGTTATACCCACAACATCTGTATAATTGACATACTCGCTGGAAAGACAATGTTGGAGTTGATTATCGTGGACATCATCTGCTGAGACTGAAGGATTGCCTGCTGCTGTTGCTGCTGCTGTTCAAAACCATATTGTTGCCGAGGTGCGAAGTGGCCTGCTTGTTCAGGTGTGAACACTGAAGGCGAAGGCTGGGTGGTGTGAACTGAAAAGACAAATCATAAGGCAAACTGTAAGGAAAAGTAGGCCTATATGCTGTGCTTAGTGGTGGCCACTGAATGCTCCGTATAGAGAGATGGTAGCTGAAATATATTTTCTATTAGGCAGTTTTGCTATGATATTTTTAGGCACGGTGAATGGAATCTTTGGTTTGTCTAACTTAGTTTAAGTTTTTGTATTTTATGCTTTTTTGTGCATATTTCCCTACTTTTCATCAGCCTGATATGACCATTGTCGTGTCGACTTACTTCTCTCTCATCAGAACTATTCTTCTTTTAGAGGTCAAACATCATCTGTCTGTGCTTTATGAATGAAAAAAAATCAAAAGTACAAAACCTGAATATAAAAGCCATAATATCTCTTGAAATAATATCAAATTATGTTTCCATTTACATTGCAGACTATTTTAATGGTAGGTCCTTGCTAGCAAATTATCAAATTTCAGCCAGGATCTGTAACAATAAAGATGTATCTTATCTTATCTTATCTTATAGAAAAGAGTCACCTCTTGTTTTTGACGGGTCTGTGTAAAGGAAAGCATCGGGAGGTGAATCTTGATCAGCCATGTTTAACTGGAAAGAAAAGAATAATTCTGTTAAATTCATTGGAAAATGATTAATGCTATTTCTTCTAAAAAGTTAGGAGATTAGGACTCAGATAATTTTTTCCATTTCAAAACGTATAATTTAACAATACTGCACTGGTACACACTAATTTCACGAATGCTATCTGGCAAATTGAGCGTTATAAGAGTGGAAGAAATAGGTAACATTTTCTTCTGTTCTTTTAACCATCTTTTAGGTCAATTATTGGGTCCTCCATAAAAACCATGAGCCGGCACGTATTATAAATAGTTTAAAAGTACAGCAGTGTGCTACGGTTGAATTACAAAGTTCTATCTGCTCAGTAGGCCTACCTAGTTTTGACAATAAATGTTTTGGGCACACTTGAAAGGGCTCTTTGTTTTATTTTTGCCCTCTAGTACATGAAATTGAAAAGTGACTACTGATTAAAAGAAAGGAAATGTCTAAATCCTGATACCTTACATAACCATTATAACAGAGGTGTTAGGTAATGTACATTTGGTTTTGAGTACAGAATCACCAGCTGCTCATTGCCGTGAAGAAAACTATATTTGTTGAAATAGATCTCCTGGTATTCTCAGCTTACTGTAAAAGATTTCAGGGCAAACTTCCATCTTACAGGCTCTCAAATACTGTTGACGATATCTTAATTCTATCCTTTTTTGCTGGGTATGAGTATGAGGCATATAGGCCTCCCATTTTAAATTCCCACGAGGGAGAAATAATTAAGGGGGGGAGGGGTATACCCCTTAAGTCCCGAGTCGGCTCAAAATTATGGATTTTGAACTGTAGTCATTTTAAGCTTCTTTAGCCTCTGTTACAACTATTTCATAGCATTCATCATCATCATCCAGTGCCTTGCCGACTGGCGTGGGTGATTATGGACCTCCACTTCACTGTCTTGCATTGCAGCAATGTCTGTTGCTCTAGCTGCCCCCAGCCATGTTGTCAACTTGTTCATTATCTTTTCCCTCTGTCTGCCTCTGCCTCTCTTTCCATCAAACTTGCTTGTTGTTTCAATATTCTCCAATGCTTCTTTCCGCATTGTGTGTCCAATGAAATTTGCCTGTCGCTTTCATATATTCGTCATAAGCTGTCATCTACAATTTGCTTCAACCAAGACTTCTTCATTTGTTTTTCTAGCTGTCCATGGGATACACAGCATGTGTCTTTTGAACCACAACTCTGTCGCCTCAATTGTTCTTTTCAGTAGCTGTTTATTGATTGTCCTTGCTTCGCACTCGTATAATAGGATTGCCTCGGTATGTAACTTTTCAGTACTCTTTTTCTTGTTTCCAGTGACAAATTGATGCTTGTGAGTATCTATTTCATTTTGTGGAAGGTTGCTTTTGCTTGGAAAATGCAGCTTTCAATTTCGGTATGACATCTCTCATCTGATGATATAATGGTCCAAAAATTTTTAATGTTGTATTTGCTTGAGGGTACGTGGCATCATTGATTTTTATATTGAATGTTGGGGTTGGAGTTTTTCTGCTTATCACCATTGTTTTGGTTTTCTTGATGTCTAGGCTTAAGCCCATTCATAGTTTTGAACCCCCTAAAGCCTTATTTCTTCAAATACCGGGCATGTTTGTCTCCATCATATCCTCATAAAGTCAATCTTTCACTTTTCTCAAAACGCATTTTTGCGATTCACTTTTTAAAATAACTCCACCATTTTTCATCCAATCTTCATGGAATCTTATAATAATAATAATAGTTGCATATATATATAGCACATATCCATGCTCAAGAGCATGCTCTATGCACTTTACAACTATTATTACCCCAGCAGATCCTGTGAGAACAGTCCGCGGAAGCATACAGTGCAAGCTGCAGATTTCACGCGCTCAAACACTATCAAACTGACAAGATCGTTCACTGTTTATAGCCGGGAACCCATTTCCACCTGAGTGAAGTGAGGAAAATTTGTGCAAAGTGCCTTTCCAAAGGACACAACGTCGGGCCCCTGACGGGATTCGTACCCACGACCTTTCAGTTGCGAGTCCGAGAGCCTATACCACTAAGCAACCGATCTTCTCAGAATGAAGAGAATATGTAATGCTAAAATTCTCTCGGTTGAATTTTTTATATATAGAATAGATTTTTGTTGCTGGAGTGTGGATTTTCATTGGATTATCTGCAAACTTGACTAGATTCTAAATCTACTTCTGGAAAAAAATTCATTAAAAATCTTACTTTTAACTTCTTTAGAAGAAAAAAAATCAACTGATAAATTTGTAGGTCTAAGGTTTGGTAAAATGCAGGCAAAAAACAAACAAACAATACATTTCAATTTAAAATAAGTGTGGTTTCACTACATAAAATCAATAAAATCCAATATATATGGCCACTGTAGCCATGGAAACGGAACACTTTCCTCAAACTTAATTGTGGATTTTAAGACTCCTTACTATGTTTGTTATATGAGTGAAATTTGGTAAAATTTGATCGACTTTTAAGCGAGATTGTTGGCTTACAAGTACAAGCAGACTAGAAGTAAAGTAGGCCTTGGTATAATAGATCAGAGCGTGTGGAGCGAACACTTTGCAGTAGTCGTTACATCAGTTGCAGAGCTGACAAATCATTTGCTTTTGTTTTATCGAATGAAAACAGCTGAACACAGTTATAAGCCCGCGATAATATACGCCAAAGACATTGGCCATGTAGCTCCTTTGATAGCAAAGTAAAATCTTGATTGTTGGTCAACTCGCACAACTTGTTTCTATGGACGCTTGTTTACACCGGAAACAGACACACAGAGAACAAAACTAAATACCGTTACGCATTGATATAATAAAACTGAATATTGACATTATCTTCATAAACTGCAATTACCGATACAGTGCACCGAAATTAAGTACAATATAAGATTAAGATGCACACTGGGCAATGACTTTACGTCCTTGTTCAAAAGGGTTTAGCCTATTGTAATTTATTGTTTTAATAGCTCTTAGGTTTTTAACGTTAGACCTACCTTTTGTATTGATGAAGCTAGATCTATCACTAGTCTAGATCTAGATCTAGATCTAGTACTTTCATTGAGTGTCAATAGCAGTTTTTGGCCTTTGATATTTTGTTTTCATCGCTCCTAGATTCTAAATAGCAGTTTGCTTGTTATAATTATATTGTGTCAGCTTAAAATTGTACATATACCTATTTGTGTCATTCCGGAAAGTAGTATTACTTCATTTCGAAAGGAAAAGTATGTCACTAATATCAGGGTCAAGGTTTTGATAATATTAATTTTTGTAAACAATACCGTGAAACACCTTGTTGTTGTGTGGTCTGTACACCTGTAGATATGGCCGATGGTGCAGTTGGATCGCCACTTTAATCCCAAAATTTGAGTATGATTAGAATCTGATATAGATCTAGATCTAGATCTAGATCTAAATCTAGCCAAAAGAGTTTTTTGAATGTGTAGATTTTAGGTGCGAGCGTGCAAATTTCGTTGACGCCTTACTTTTAGCCTTCTTTTCTTGTGTAACTGGGTTAGTTTAGCGGGTTATAAAGTTAAGTAAGTAGATCTACCTTATTATATATTGACACCACTACCGTTATCGTTACCGCTCTCGGTATGCACGTTTTTTTTCAAATTTAATGAAGGGATTAGACACCTTATTCTCCTCTTGAATCTTAATTTTTGCAAACCGTAGCGTAGGTTAATCTCGAGGCTGCAATTTTATGTTGGCGGTCAGAGGGGTAGCGTTGTTGTACGTTGATACTCAGCAGATGAATCCCCCCACTGCCCAGGGCTGTGCTACTGACTGAAGTTGTCAAAATAGGCCTTTCCCAAAGAGAGGATATCAACATGTTTTTATGCACAGCAGGTAGGACTGTATGGGCTGATTTATCAATGCCGGAACAACATAGGGGGAAAGTGCTTTTTTTTTCCCTTGAATCCTTACTATCGTCATTTTACCTCTATTTCTATTTCTATTGTATGTCATGTATGTCACTCTCTTCTGAACTGCTATTTCCGGGGTTCCTTGAATGATAGTTGAGCAGGCTTTTTTGTGCTGTGGAGGCTAGAGAGGTGAGCAGAGTAAGCCAGTTTGGACTTCGTCTGCTGAATTTTACGCGAATGGCGGCCGAAGCCTACAGCGATTCTATGACCACCAAAGGGATCTCGTGCCCAACTTGCACTTGGGACCTCGACTGAGATTTTTTCGCCTAAGTTATCTGAGAAGGCTTGGTGTTTGATTCTACCTACCGTAAGAGGTGTGGCTGAAAGACAGCAAGCAGTAAAAAATGTAGGAGCCACGGAGTAGCATCAGTTGAAAGGCAGATCAGAAAGAGTATAATACAGGAGCCCAGGGGAGGGGGCAAAGAAGGGTGGTGGAGGGGGGGGAGGGGAGGAAGAGGCAGAAGGTGGAGACGAAAACATATATGACAGAACATGATGATTAGAGAGCAGGAAAGGTGAATTCGGAGAAAATGTTTTAGAGAAGAAAATTTTTCTGTCACTCAAGTCTCTCATGTCAAGTTTCGAACCTCTATTGAATGAGAGGCAAACACCATGGCGATACATCTACTCTATGAGAGCCCACTCCCAAAGTAATATTATGAATATAGGCAATTTCCCCAAGTAATGATTATTATATGTTATCCTTGGCCTGGTGTTAAACTAATTTAAACAAAAATTTTGAATTAAATAAAATTCCAGTTTCTTTAATGTGGTCAGTTTCATGTACTCAAGAAATAATAAGGCAGATTTATATGGACCTGTCTCATTTTCAGATATTTTGCTGTTTGTACCCAAATTGTAACTTAATTAAATACTTCATGTGTGGATCCCCCCCTGACCTAAAAAAAATCTGGGGGATTCTAGTGAGAGCTGCCCTTTTGTTGCTAATTAAATTTACCCTTGACACCCTAGCGACCCCAACCTTCTTCAGTTGCAAATATCTTGACTTCTATTCAACATCATAGATGGGTATTTATTTTTTCATCAAAAACAAAACATATACCCAAACAAGCTTTAAATTGACACCAACAACTCCATATATATGTGTTATTTTGGTTCCCTTTTATTCTCTCTTTATGACTTCAGTGATTCTCCGCTGAGCTAGCTGTTCTGAGCTGTGGTTTTAAGCGACTGACCAGAACAATGGAGAGTGTAGAAAATGGGGGTGGAGATGTGCAGGTGCTGCCGGACACACAAGTGGCACCAAGAGAAGATTCTAAAAGTGTGACATCAGTCAATAGCCTGGACGAAGGAGGCCCTTGGGGGCTCGTCATTATTATCTCAGCCTTCATGATTCAGGTAAAAAAATGTGTGCATGTATAGTATAGACCTAATGTGGTGATTGTTATATAATGATGGCTCTGACAAATTTTCCTTTTTTTTGGTTTTGATTTCAAGACTCACACTCTGTCCTTATCGGTGGTTGGTGGGCGCTCTGGTGTGGTTTGCTCCTTCTTTCCTATAAAAAATCTATCATCCGTATCTCTCCTCCTTTTTTCTTGTGTATGTTACTCTCTTGTAACACTAACACATCTATTCTTCGGCACTTAACTTATATGACCTTATTGTGTTGTTGCAAGTGCCGTAAAACTCTTACTAAAACTAAACCACTCTGTCCTTTCTTGGAGTCTTGATACTTGATGCATCTTGACATTCACAGCCCACTGTATCTTATTCTTGTCAGACATACCTTGCAACCCCACTGTGACCCTCATGGATGCTGTACATGTTGCAGCTTAGATTAGGTCAAGGAAGTTCAAAATGGGGGGGGGGGAGTAGGGGGGGGGGCAGCTTTACTTTTACTCCAGGTACAAAGTAAGCTATCTGTGAGCTACCTTGACCAGATTTTCTTCATGCTGCAAGGATCCAAGTGCACATCACGTGCACCCAATTGGCGTGTGAAGACTTGGGCCTTGATTTCCCAAAACCCAGTACATGTGTATTCATGATCAATTTTAGGAGGTATTACTTTTCAAACCAAAATTAATGTCTCGATCCTCATCAGTCTGGTATCTGTAACTGAATGAAGTGAATGCCGTGTCATGGATCATGTCTTTAAATTGAATTTTTGTCTGTGTAACTTTCCTGCTGGTGTGGCTGGTTGGCGGGTGCTCTGGTGTGGTTTGCTCCTTCTTTCTTATCAAACATCTATCATCCTTATCTCTCCTCCTTCTTTTTTGTGTATGTCACTCTCTTGTAACACATCTATTCTTTGTCACTTATATGACCTAATTATGTTGCAAGTGCAGTGAAACTCTTACTATAACAAAACTCTCCTGCAGGTGTTTGCATTTGGTACAGGCTGCTCCATTGGAGTTTACAATGTGGAGTTCCTGAACTACTTCAACAATGATGTCACAGGGGTCTCCCTCATGACTTCCATCAACATCGCTTTCTTCATGGGCGGAGGTATGTTCAAAGATTGTTTTTATGATAGGTGCCATGGTGTACTGCCGTATGCTGACAAAATGCCTTTTTTCATTTTGACGCCAAAATGTTTAGTTTTTTGGCTAAACCGAAAGCCTAATCTGTTACCCTACTTGTGTGACAAAATCAAAGTGAAAATGTGACTAGTGTTTGAATAAATTTGAATTCAAATTTCAGAAGAACTCTATTTTCAATGGTTATGCTGACAAAAAAGCTTCTTTTTCTTGAAACTGTTGTGAAGAAAAAAAGGCGTTTTATCAACTTAGGACGGTGTAGTGGTTCGAATTTTCTCTATTACACACAAAAGACCTGAGTTCAGTTCCTTGCCGGGGGATGTTTGTCATCAAGTATCTCTGTATATCTGCTTGGATGTTGTATCCCACTCAACACGGGTTGGCCCTGATGGGCAGGGGTCAAGCAGCCAATAAGTGGTTGGCGGGTGGTTTGGTGTGGTTTGCTCCTTCTTTCCCATCAAACATGTATTGTCCTTATCTCTCGTCCTTCTTTTTTGTGTTTGTTACTATGTTGTAACAGCTCTTATCTTTTGCACTTTTATGATCTTTTTGTATTGCAAATGCCGTAAAGCTCTGACTAAAACTGAAGAAAGGAAGCAGTCAACCTGAATGGTTTCATTATACACAATGGCAGGCGCAATATCCTTTCAATTACATTTTTATAAGACTGTGTAAGGTATGCTCCTCCGTGGTGAGTATTTTCTGATTTTTGCACTCCATGCTCTGACATAGACATCGCAGTTGTCATTGTTGAAGACATTTTATTTTCTTTTTCATAGAAACATAAGCAGTCTTTTTAAAAATGTCTTAGGTATGCTATGAAAGTGTCTGTTGTTAATTCAGTTGAATTTTTGCTTTCACTCTTCAGCCTAATTATCTGCTGCAGAAGATGCACTTTTTATTCTCATTTCTTATCTCCCTCATGGGTGTAATACAAACATCTCATTACAAAGTGCACATTTTTTCTGCAACAGTTCTCTTAAATGTAAGAAATTTTTGCAACGCTGGCAAACTTGTACCACCAGTAACTACTGCCTTCCATATTAGCCTTTAACAGTCGCAGCTGAAGACTATAAATTAATCTTCAATTTAAGATTATCACATTATAGTATTCCTTTTATAATCTCCACTTCTTGTCTTGACTACCTACTCCACTTCCTTTCCATCTCCTGTCTCAGGACTGCTGGCCAACTGGTTGGCATCCAAGTATTCTCACCGGGCAGTGGCTCTGCTTGGTGCTGCCTTGATGGCTGTGGGCCTCTTTGTTATGCCCTGGCTGCAGAGTCTTCGAGCCATGATTCCGTTTTATGGGGTTTTTGTTGGTGAGTAGATAGTCTGCTTTGTTTAATGTTGTTGTTTTGTTGGTGAGTATATGTCCCAGTACCTTCTTCCATTCTTTCCGGCAGGCCTGAAAGGTATGAGTGATGCTTTTGGAAAGCTGTGCTCTTTTTTTTTACCAAGATTTGACTCATTTAAGGTTTATGGAGGAATGTAGCTTTTTATTTCTCCTTTTTTTATTTCAAGAAGTTGTTCTTTAACAAATTGTTGTGTGAATCTATTCATGTAACGAAATTGAATGAGATCCTTTCTTTTTAATATTAACATAACTAGAATAGTTGATACATATCATGTACTCATTTTGAAGTGTAAATCTCAAAACGTTTAATTTGCTTATGCTACTGAAAGCATGGTTCTGTTTTTAAAATCGTTAAAATGGAAACATTTAAAATAATATGCTTCCTTTTGGTCAACGACTTTTTGTCTTGAATGAATCCTGCATGTTGTCTGTTTTCCAGGTCTTGGCGGCTGCTTCGCCTACGCTCCGTCTCACACTTTGAGTGGTCTGTACTACAACAAATATCGCAGCCTGGCAACAGGGCTGGCCACCAGTGGTTCTGGCTTAGGTACCGCAGTCTTTCCTCCTCTCATCAGGTATGAAGCTCTTGAGTAATTTCAGGCTTTGGTACTAGATGAAGCCCACATGGCACGCTCACTGTTAAAGACATACAGAAAACGACAAATGCAGGTTTTGGGACACCTGAATAGACATAAAGGTCTTGAACATCTAGCTCTCACTGGAAAAATTGAAGGCACATGAAGCAGGGGTAGGCCCAGAGCAACCTACTTAGGGAATCTAAATAAATGGGTAACGGGGAAAGATCAAAGTAATGTAGCTTTTTTAAGAGCTTCCGAGCAAAAGAATGAATGGAGAACCATGATCTCCGATGTCTGTCGTAGGTCTGGCACTTGATAATGATGATGACTAGAAATAAATTGGAAGATTGAGCGGAAGTAATAAGTTCTGAGAAGTCGTTATTGTTCCACTTGTTGTGTCCCACTGAGGCAGCTGCTGTGGTGTTGTAAGATACTGACTTGGTCGACCATATGGAAGGTACAGGTTTGAATCCATATGTTGTCCACGTGTTGGACTATGACAGTGTGTAAATAATATGTACAGAAAGTGTAGAAACTGTAGAAACTTTGCTTCTGGAAGATATCCCAAGAAATGGCTGATAAGAGAAGAAATTTTGTCCTCAATTAGATTTTTTATTAAAAAGGATGTAGGCCTACATGATAATGATATTGAGGATTTGTCTTTATTTTTTCTTTCTGCAGTTTTCTGATTGAAGAATACTCCTGGAAAGGTTCCTTGATCTTCTTAGCGGGTCTCAACTTGCACATCTTTATATTTGCCATGTTGTTGCGACCACCACCCCCACAACCACCAGTGGAAGACAGCGCATCCACAGAGCAGGACAACACCCCACAGGTAGGTGGATCTGTGCCTACAGGAGTTTTTATAGCTCAGTTGTGAGAAATTTGACGTCAAAGATTTCGAATTTCATATCTTGTCAAGCTTTTTCGAACGCAGTTCTTTGAATATCTAGATAACGACTCCGAATAATCATACAGCTTTGGTAGAGGAGAAAGAACATTAATTTTATTGATTTCTTACCTCATGGTCTCAGTAACTCAAAATGACCCCCC